TATGTTCTCTTCACCAGGCATGAAAATTATTTGCACTTATCTCTAGAGTTGAGAGTTTTAATCCATAGGATAAGGATGATACCGACATGCATCTTTATATTCATTAGATTTTAGCCCCTCTTTGTAAATACACGTTTTAACCTCTCTACCAAAACATGATTCGGAAAAATAGCAAATGTCCGCATATCAGTTTTTTTTTTTAGATCTAAGGTTATGTGATCATCCATCAGCATCTAGGGTCTGGCAAAAATACAAATGACAATGTCATTACTGAGGGAGGAGTCAGAATCTCATCAGATCATTATCACTACCATCTTTAACTTCAGTTTTTTCATCAATAAAAGCTTTCATATTGATGAAAAGCTGAATTTAAAGATCAACCAACCCATGTTAGATTGGATTAATATTCTCCTTATCTTTTTTTTTCCATCAAAATTGTATCAAGAAAAATGGATATAAAATATAAAGTACTTTTTATGTGATGATGGCAACTTATCAGACGTCAAGAGTAACTACTTTATATGTATTTGATCTAGCTATTTGACATAAGAGACAAGTAAGTAGTTGATGTTGATTTAGGCAAAGATGATGATGCCCAAACATATACTTACATAAAAAAGATATCATTTGTGATTCTTAGTGCAAAGAGAATGTATTTTAAAAGATTCTCTCAAGAATAAATCCACTACCTGGAGTAAAGAAAGGAAGCATATAATCCTTTTTTTCACAATTGGTAAATAAAAACTTTTTTTTCTACACCTCTCATCATTTGTTTTAAAAAGACGCTCATAATGATATGTGTGTATAGGGAAAAGGAAGACAATGTTGAAGGAATTTTAAATGTTAAGGGTAATGAGCATAAAGACAATGATCATCATTGAAAATATTTAAAGCATACCAAAAAGGTGTTCAATCCTTATAGATTAAGTTTTTTTGAAGAATCCTTAATACATCAATCATGCTAGATAATGTTGATGAATTAATTAGATGTTTTTTTTTCTTCAATTCATGTCATTTATCATACATTAACCTTTTTTTTTATGTGATCTTAGCTTCAATACCAAAAGATCCTTTAGAGGTTCCATTGGGTCCAATTACAAGACTTGGAGTAAAGAGGTTCAATGAGGCAATTAATGGACTTCTTCAAGATACATGAGCTAAGATAAATTTTGAGAGGTTATTAAAGAATAAAGAACAAACCTTGATTAATTTGATTCATGTTCAAAAAGGGCTTGTAAGGGAGGGAGCTTTCAAACATTACAGAAAGATTGGAATAAGAAGATTCAAATCTTCTAGTTTTAACATTTCTATACTTTTTTCTCCATAACTAGAGCTCTAGAATTAATTTTAATATGATTTTAGTTGCATTGAAAAGTAGACATCCACACATTTGCAATGACGTATGGTAAACCTTTTAATTCATCAAGACGAGGAAGAACCATTCATTTTAAGTTAGGCTTTAATTCTGCTAGCAAATTATAAAATTCGACTTTAAGCTTGTTCTAATTAGGTGGACCATTGTTTATTTATATTATAATTTATTGAAGAATTTATGACATTTAAGGTTTATTTGGGTTGGGTTTCATTGTATTATTTTAGTTATTTTAGGCTTGTAATATTAAGGACTATTTATCAAGTTTGAGTTTATTAAGTCAAATTATGACTAGCTTTCTACTATGTACACCAATTGTTAACATTGATTTTGATGAATTTTTATCAAAAGTTGATGCATATTATGTGTTTATTTCTCTTCGAGTGGTTGAATGATTCTTATACTAAGTTCTTGATTGAACTTGCAAACTCTCTAAAGGATTGATCAAATTCGTTGTAATTTATACTCCTCATTCACGTCTTGTTATAGGTGTAAGGTGGGAGTGATAAATTTACAACTTTAATTCTTTAATACAAGGTTTTTTTTTTTATCAAGTTGCAAACTTTCTTCAGACCTCAAATTAGCAATCTAAAGAACAATTCCACATCAGTTTGGTGTTAGAAGACAACTAATTTCTGGTTCTATCTCTTTAATTTTTATTATTACAAGTAATTTTAGGGTTTTCTTTAGATCGTTCCATATTTAGTGTTTGTTTTCTTGTTTTTCTTGGTCTCTTTCTCTCTAGGATTTCAGCTAATAAAAAAGAAAAAGATTAATTCTTGATTAATCTTTGTGGTGTTTTGGTCTTTAAAAAAAAAAGAAAAGAATAAGCTTTTGATAGGAAAAAAGTCTTGAAGTTGCCTAGAAAAAATTGAATACAAACATTAAATTATGTTTATCTTTGTGACTTGAGAAATTCAAAACCTATTAAAAAAAATCAAAATCACAAATCTTGAAAGAACTCTTGAGGAAGCAATTTGAAAATTTTGTATCTTGCATGAACTAAGGTTTATCTAAAACATGTTTGGGAATTCTTAGTGATCTTGATTGAATTCTTACAAATTTAACATAATTATCTTGCATCAATTTCTTTAGATTCTTGATTTCCTCCATTTTTTTCTTTATTTTCTTGAATTTCATAGTTTTTGTTATATCTTAATAATAATTCTTGCTTTTATTTCATGTATTTATTTTCATCATTATATTCACATAAATTTACATTATACTCATAAGTTTATCCTCAAGTTTTGTTTTGAAAAGTTTGAATAATTGTTGATTCTTGAGTCTTTAAACATAAAATACATCATTTATAGTTTGGTTAAATATTTGATAAGTTGATAAGTTACTTTTAAAAACCAAAGATTGAAAATATAGTGGTAGTAGCGAGATTATTAGAGTTAAAAGCCTAATAAATTATGTGAAACACAAAAGGAGTGAATTTTATTGTGAGAATAAACGCATGAGGTTTGTGTGAGGAAAACATTTATTTGCTATTAACCATTATTTCAAGTATAAACAATGTTTTCAAAAAGTGTTGGGAAAAAAAAAAGCAAGAATTATGGAGGAAAGGTTGGATAGAAAGGAAGTTATAGTAAAGACATTAATAAGTTTGATGAGATGATTAGTAGGTAAGGAGTATTTAGTTGTAAAGAAAAGGAAGTTAAAATGCTTGTCATTGGGACTATAATGAATAATGAGAGTGTGGATAATGATTTTAAAGTAAAAGAAAAGAAAGACGTAGTTAATCTTGGTAAAAGACTTCAAATGCAACAAAACCCTATGTATGAGCCATGACCTAAAAGAAGAATGAGAGGTAGGTCATAATCAATTAATATATTTGGTCATGGTAAGACTGATAGTTTAAATCATAATTTAGGTAGTATTAAACTCAAAATCTCACGGATTCAGGAAAAGAGTGATTTGGGGGCTTACTCTATCAATTGACCTCCACTACCCTTGAAATAGTCGTCGTTTCTTACTCTTTCTTACTTCTACAAAACCTCGTGATCGACTTCAGTCATTGTTCCTCATAGCAACACCACCTAAACCATCAGCTCAACGTCATGATCACAATTGAAACTCTTGTGTCAAGTGAGTCATTTCTCTATCAACCTTTATTTTTTGCAAATCATTTCGAGTACATGCAGAACGTGAACTACTACTATTCACATATTGCAAATAATTAACTTTGAGGTGGGTTGGACCTGTTTCAGCCATGCCTAAATAGATGGTATGGGTTGGCCCACCCTCTAAAAGGGTTAGTTTTGTTGGGTTGATTTCGGCCTAACCCGGCTGAGTTCAACCTAGTTAGTTGTCTAGCCGATCCCACATATTAAATAATATTATATTAATATTATATTATGTATCTTTCTTAAAAAATTCAAAAATCCTTTTAAAAAATTTATGATTTTCCCACATGTTTTTTTGCTAATTTTACTTAATATTGGATTGGATACTTACACTGTAAGATATAGATCCGGTATTAAAATACCTGGTTTTCTTTGAAAGTTTTCAAAAAACATATTAAATATTTTAAATTAATTTTCCCTTTCAAAAAATAAAAATAAAAATATTTTTTTTATGCATACGGTCAAATCCTAAAAATTTTCCAGGCATATCTTTATAGAAACAACTTTCTTATGTTTTAAAATGTAAAATGGATATCTTAACCAATTTATGAATATCCATTAAGGTTTGATTAAAATATCAAAAACTCTTTTACATTTTTATTTTTTATTTTTATTTGGATTTAGATTCAAACTTTAATAAATTGTGGAGTGTAAAATTACATGATAGAATACACTTTCAAATATTAAAGATATAAGGTGTAGGAAATGTGATGCTAAAATTCAGATTCTAAAATGGTTAGAATTTAACTTGATAAGGTAGACACTATATTATAAAGAGAGATCTATCTTGAATTGTAGATAAAACAAATAAATAAAAATTTGACCTAGAAAAACAATCAAATAACAATACAGTTTTCTCCTTATATAATTAGTATTTTACTCAAACTCAAATTTTTAATAACTATAATAATAGATTATAACTATTAAATATTAATTATAATATTATAATTAAATTTAAAAAACTTTCCAACATCACTCATTGAGAGGTACAATAAAACTGTCGTTGCCGAAAACATCACCAGACACCCGCAACAGACCTAAGGAAAATGCTACGGAAAGCGGGGACATGGGATATGCTAAAAGGCAAATACCTAATTGTAGTTCCATTGATCTAGGTATCTAGTCTTAAAAAGGTAAATTCCACCCTTTACCATTGAATTGCTCCTCCAGTCCTTCCAATCACCAAGAATTCTCTTACAAAATTAACCATATTAAGAAATTCCAAGCTTTCCTTGGGCAGAAATAAATCCTACAGTCGTAAAGACTGTTTTCGAATCGAATCCAAAAAGTTCCGCTCTTGCACCTGAAGATGAGGCCAGGCCGGTAGATGCAGTCGGGATGGTATTGCCTCGATGAGACTTAAATTAATTGAAGTATTCAAGACCACCAGGAAACTTGGACCAAAAGATTTAAACCCAGCACAAAATCTAGCTTGGTCATCCCTAAAATTTGAAATCACCTTTCTAAGGTATGCAAATTATATAAAACGAACTCGGATATGATGCAAGTCACCTTGATTGACATTGCTTTTGCTGTCAGGAAGAAAGTTGATGTAAACATGTTACAGTAGTTACAACCAGTAGTACACAGTTCTATCATACTGTACATTTTTCCAGTTTTTACAAAATACATTTTCACGAGCCAGAATTCTTTTTTTATGTACATAATAAGCATAAAACAAAAAATCTGCGGTGTCAAAGTATGGTCGAGCAACTACCCTATAACTAACATCTGCATGCAACGCCTTCGATTCCACATCAACTTCATTCTAAAATCTTTGAAGCTGCATTAGAATCATGCTCCGCCCCCCAAGTCTGATGATGCAGTTGGTGCAAAGACACTTGACGTAAACAATAAGGAGAAGCCCTGTTGTATGCATCTGCATCTGCATCTGCATCTGCATCTGACATGCCGCAACAAGAACTTCAGTCAGTACTCAAGGGTTTTTCATATATTTCTTTGCTTTCCTCGAGAAGTTTCTAGCCATCATTCTGTCAGAGAATGTCAAAGGAAGTTCCTCCTCAGCAGCCTCACTGTTATCATACCAGCCTGTGGAACCAATCTTATATTTTGAGGTGCCTCCATTAGATTCTGTAGGTAAGATGGGGTCTTCAGGTATCTCCCTATACAAGTGTTTTAAAATGAAGAGTACAGTGTCATGATCCCTCCAATAGTTCCTGCACGTCATGATTTATCAATTAAAAACAGAACTAGCATCTTCTTACCTGCAACAAAATGAAGAGCAGACTAGCAATACATAACAATTAAAAGCAAAAAATTAAAATTAAACTGAGACATGAAATGACAAGGCAACTACAAGCAAGAGTCATGCTACATCCTTCAAGAAACCTCTTTGGAGAGAGAAAACAACCTGCTAATGCATGTAATGCATCCCCATCCAGAAAAGCATTATATTCTCAACAGGGATATGGCAGCAAAACACTTCAATGATACATGGACAACAAATGTCGCATTTCAATGATACATGCACAGCACCTTACAGGAACATCAATTTTAATTAACAAGTCTGGGTCTTCCTGTGAGCATAACCAGGTAAACAGTCTGAAGTTTTTAACAGCAAGATTTAATAGTCAAAATATCCCCAATAAGTTCAACAAGCATGACCAATTTTATAAGAAAATAATTTGCAGATTCTGCTCCATGGAAACCAAACAAATCCTGGACCTCAATTCATAAAAGATCTTGATCTCAGAGTTCAAGGAATTTACGTGTGCGCTCCAATGGCTTGCAGATATGGATGCTTAAAAGTTTTATCCTGCATGGTTACCACACAAACAAAGGTTAGGGAGGGAATCAGAAATGGGTTGACAATTATGATACCTGGGAAAACTAAAATCCTGTACAAAGTAAGCAACTAGGACAAACTGTTCTTTGTTAGGAATAAATTGTATCCCTGCCCCAAAAAAATTACCAATTAACAGGAAAATCTTTGGGACATCTGTTTGGTGACAATTTATGAAGTGGTCATGTCAGAAACTAACAGAAGCGCAAACCTCTTCCCCATATCCCCATCAGCACCTGTGGAATTACTATTATGATGTGGAAAGACACTACCCGTATCAATTTCTGTTGTTGAACTGTAGATGACACCACATCTCATTCTATCGCTAGTACCAATGCATTACAGCAGTTCTACCAAATTATACTAGTGCTAGCACCAATACCACATGGAACGATGAACAAAAACATAAATCCGTACTTCACCAAAATGCAAATATCATTTTTATTGCTTGTGGTAATTCAGATTATCTGGGGCTTGAGCTATGTAGACTTCATCTATTGTATGAAAACAGCACATTATCATGATAGAAAAATTAGCTAATAACTAATAGATAGTAGCCAATGCATCTCTAAACCTATTATATTAGTAAATGCCAGTATAAGATGCAAACAACTTCATTGTTAAAGAATGCATCTCTAAACCTGTTATATTGGTGGACAACCTGTTATGTTGGTGGATGTCGGAATACAATACAAATATCTTCATTGATAAAGAAAATTAAAAATAAAAAAAGAAGACACACTAAGCTCTCACCGATAATGGAATAACAGGAAACATTCCATGTTATATGCAGAACTGGAAGCCAGATGGTGCATATTAAGAGAATCTATACGCCATTGAATGTCAAAAGTAGATAACCACATTCCCATGAACAATTTTGTTCCTTTTTTCTATTTAGTAGTCACGCGAGACTGGTGATGGGTATAAACAATTGTCCCATATTTTTTAAAAGCATATGCATTAATGATGCAGACCATGCTCAACTGCATATGCGTATGCACTCACATGTGACAATTGTACAAAAGAGTTTTGGTCAAAGAAATGTTCACGCAAAAAGCATTTTCAACAAGGGAGTGAAATAATGGTGCAGCTTTAAACAAAAACAAGAAAATGTACTGCCACGCACTTGAAGTATGTGGTCTATTCGTCCTTCACTTCCAGTTAGCCTCTCCATCATCATTGAGCCATATGTTCTCTCTTCTTTTTCAAGGGAATTTTCTTCTAAAACACAAATAACAAATGGTCAATGAGCAAAAAATATAGAAGTTCTCAATGAGATTATAAACAGTTTTTTAGGAAGGGATATCCTTTCTTTCCTGGTTTGTAGAAGGGGGGTGCGGGGCTGGTGTGGGGAAAGAAATAAGGGAAGCAGATGATATAAAGAAATTGTAAGAGAAGTTACATGATGAAAACAAAGAAAATTTCTCTACCTTCTTCACTGTATGCAATCCTTGATTGGCAAACTGTAAGCACCTTACCCTGTTTAAATACTAAAATATTTAGAGCTATGCCTTCAGCATTTCCTCAAACATAAAGAGAAAGCAGGCATGAAACATGTATATAAGGTATGAGTCACTAATTTTCTTGTGAAATATGGACCAATTCATCCAGCACAAACCCAAGCTGAACAGTGAATCCATAATGAAAAACTAACAGATCAAGCCACACTTCAATGCACAAGTATTCCTAAATAGCAAGCTAAATATTGAGCGCACACATGTGTTCATTGTGAGTGTCATTGCTCATGTAGGTCTCATTGAGTCCATCTACCTGTCTAAGATATTACCAAAGGGCATGTAGTAGATACTCAGCAAAGCAAGGAGAATTAGGGCTTGGATTCAGTCCTCGCTTGGGAGAGAGGGAGTGCCTGAGAAGGCTCAGAATTAAACTTAGGGCGAAGTTTAGAGTGGGAATTTTATATTTAACACATTCAAAGGTAAAGCGAAGTCTTTCAAACCAAGAGACATGCAACTTGAGAATCCTTAATGCCAGAATCATTTAACAATCCTTTTTAACTTTTTCCTCAGTTAAGTAATAAATTATTGAAAGAAGTGTGTGGTATGTGCACAAGATACTTCATGCGAACAAAAGGAGATAACCTTGGGAAATCTTACAGAGCTTATTACCTTTACAAAGTTTAGATGATTCATTATTGCTTGAGAACGACCAGCTAAATCTTCAGTTAGCTCCTGTGTAACAGAGTATGAACACACCAGAAGAATAAATGAACAGATAAAAACATAGGATGGTGGAAGTCCCCTTTTATCCAAAAATTATTTTCTTAAGAACCTTACCTGAAACCCAATGTGCAACCTTCTTCCACCTTTGTGGTAAGGAATAATAACTGGGCGCTTGCTGATAAATTCTTTACAGACTAGAGGTTCTATTCTGTATAAGAATTTGAAAAGGCTTTTATAATTTGTACCAAATTAAGGAGATACCACCAAACAAACACCATATAAAAAGGTGGACATGAGCACACGAGGCTAAAGTGCACAAAAAAGTATAGGAAGTGTAAATAGTGTAGGCATAGAGAAGCTGGCTTTTTGTGCGTGGCAAGGGAAGAAGAGAAGAAGCTGTCTGATACTTCTCCCAGTTCAAAACAAATATAAACAAATCAAAAGTTCATCCCAAGATCTTTCTGCACATGTTCCGTTGCAATAGGATAACTACTATTTCACATGTGAAAAAACAAAATATAAATGTCTTAGAAATGAAAATTGATGGGAAAGGCAAACCTATATGCTACAGGATCAAATGGGTGAAAAATATTGAACATTTGACTACATGCTGGCATCTCTTCACTGATATTTTCCTCTGCCCAATATTTTTGCCCTTTACCTGGGAAATTGAAGAAAAATAAATATTAAAACAAGATTTTGAAAATAAGAAGTGCTATTTCAAGTATTAAATGACAATTCAAAGTCAATGTTGAAAATAAGACATGCTATTTCAAGCATTACCGATTCCAATCCGAATGTTGCGAAGAGAAAGAAAGACTCCAAGAGGAGATCCAACAGCAAAGAATGTGTCTACCTGATATATGAGCATTCAAATAAAATTAATGGCATGATCTATCAGGTATTTTTTGTAGTCTCAACTAAAATGAGAAATTTCTAACAATTCTCCCTTCTACCATCTGAATTTGAAATTCTATCAAATGTAGAGTTGGCAAAAACTAGTATACCACCACAACATAAAGATAAAAGAAAATTACAAATAGACTGAACAAGAATTTGTGTACCTTGAATTCAAGTTTTGTGTACTTTATACAAGGGGTATAACTCCTTGCTGCTTCATCTTGTCCAAGTGCCAACGTCTCAGATATGGGTTGCTTTGGCATGTTTTCAGTAGCCTTTCCCCTTTCTGTTTGACACATAAAATCCAGATATGCCAAAACATGAGAGTGCCTTAACCTAAGATGCAAATAAATTATGTGATTTGATGCACACCCTACCATTTGCATTTGCACCACCACACTTGGATTCCAATTCTGCTATTTTAGCTTTTAAGGAATTGATCTGTAAAACAGAATATAAAGTCATATTGAAAACCCAAACAAGATAAATTCTAAAGAATATGAAATATCTAAAATGCAGACCTCTTCCATCAGCATATTAATTTCTTTTTCCTTATTGCCGGTGTCTTCACTGCCTTCCACTTCCATATTGTCCACACCACTCATTGGGTCTTCTAACTTCATTTCTGTACCTTCACATACAAGATCTCTTTCCTGAGAGAACACATTACTGGAGTCATGAACAAATTCATGGAGACTTTCTTTTCCACCCATTTGCTTAAAATTTGAATCTGATGAAGTTTCATCCAAATCTGACACATGAGGACTCAAGATTGAGGAAAAATCATGAGCACACCCATCCTCTTGTAATAAAGCTGATCGTGCAGTCATCATTTCTTCATCAACAGGATCCACAATGTCCTTGGCTTCACTGACCACGTTGGAATTGTTACCCTCCAGATTGGTCAAGTCATGCTTCATATCAAGGGAAGATTCTTGACTCCTATGATGTTCGTTATACATCCAATCCATTGGGAATGGAGAAGACAGATTCTCTTGATGGCACAGGATGTCATATGAGAGGACACTTCCCAATGAATGACCATATATCGAAACCTGGATAAATGTTAGTGTACTATTGAGACTGTTCAGTGGAAATCAAGATTATAGCTTGATGAAGAAACAGAGCATTTGCTCAAAGAGCTTATACCTTTCCATCATAACCAGGATTCCGCTTAAGAAACTTCAAGTACAGGTGGTTTAATTGGTTTGATACCTGGAGCAAAGTGATACCAATCAATTCAACCTCGAAACATAATTGTAACGGAGACCGAATTGCTTTAAACTTTCAACTTTGGCCTCTGTGAAATAAATAAAAAACCATTTTTTCCAAACAAATTGGTTGAAGAGATGAAAGGAATAAAATAAAAGTACTCAATAACATACATTTTCCAAAAGAACCTTGCTATTTTAATGAAGAACTAGCATCAATCAGGAATTAAAATTAGCTACTACTAAAAAGCTAAGATATGGCTTCAACAATATTTAGGGTACCTGCAAAAGTTAGTTAGATTTATCCTCAGTTGCCATTTTCTTCTATTTGCCATGCTTCTCTAATAGGGAATTATATTATGAATCATAGGAAATCACCAATCCAAACATTCTCAATTCAACTCATGTTCTCATCACCCACAATCTTCTCTGGTAGTAATTTTGATGATAATGGGGGTGCAACAGATTTATTCACAAAATCAAACCATCTCATAAACCATTCCATTTCACTTTTTGCAGCCTTAGTAGAATGGTAACTTATGGATGCTACTAGTGGCATTACTAGAAGTTACAAGTTCTATACCATTGCAAAAGGCAGACAAGTATAATTTGTCACTTCCATGTCCTGTCATTACTGTAGACACCATCTCACACACAAACCACTATTGCTGTTGCAATTCCATCCATGCTAAAAACCTGGAAGATTTACTCTCAATCAGATTTCTGGGGTTTGGTAATTATGTAGGTAGTGTGTTGAGGTGACATGCAATAGTCCTGCTATTTTGTGCATCTGGTTTGAATGAAGTCAAGAATATTTCAAGATGAGCAGCTTCCTTTCCTTTTTATATGGGATAAACATTGTATTCGTAGGGTGCTTTGCTATAGGTGACTAGTGTCTCTTCAGCTGGTATGCAAAGGGAAAGGAAGCTATCTTTTACTATCAGAAGGAAAAGAATGCCATCAGCTCTAACCACTACCACTTCCTAGACGCTGTCTCAACACAGCTTCCAACTCAAGTATGCCTCAAAGCTAACTTGTTTCACTTTATTAATTTACCAAATTTTGATATCATTTTCCTAGTTGTTAATGTCTGGAATTTTTTAATATGAACCATCCTGCGCACACCATTTCTTCTGGAAAAAAGCATTTTCCTAACTTCTTCCTTCCATTCCTTTTTTTTTTTTATCTTCAATAGAGATGTATATCTCATGTTTCCTTGTGTAGAACCACACACATACAGGAAAAAAAGACTAAATTTATAACTACTTAAGTTACCCTTAATTCTAATTTCAAGATTAACTACTTAGGGTAATTGTTTATGATGTGTAATTTTATGTCTGAATTATTCTATACTTGACATTAGAGATAAAATTTAGTTCTTGAATTTAAAATAGAATAGATAACGCAACTTAATGTAAGCTAGCATTCTTCATGGTTGTCTTGAAAATGTTGTGACTTCTTTTGTTTCATGTTTCAGGGAAAAAATTATTTTACCCAATTGTTATTATAACTCCAGTTGAAAATCCAAGAGCATGAAAATTGAGATCATAACATCAGAGACCCATGAAAGATGAAAGTGCTTTCAAAGGAGACAGGTAAGTCAAGATTCTCTTAAGACAGCTCTTTCCCAAATTCATCCATTCATCGCATGCATAAAATTACTTCACTAATAATCAGAAAAAAGTTGTGTCAACATGAAGAGCTTTTGTGTGCTTTCTCATTTATTCCTTTTATTTTTCTCTTTTTTGTTGGAAGGAGAAAGCATTCAATATGGACAAGTAAATAATAGAAGTTGAATATCCATTCTGGTGGACATATGTGAAGATGGCATCTCCATTCACAACAGAACCCAAGGATGATTCTTTATAATTAGCCTTCATTGCAAGGTAATTAGCAATTAAAAGGAAGAAAAAATTGAAGGATCAAATATGCAGTACCGAATTAATAATGTCTTGACAATAGATGGGGCTCATGTAGTACAATACATCATGAACTGTTGCACTCAGCATAACTCGCAAACCACGTACACCATCTAAAGTAATCTTTTCAACCGCAGCTTCACCACTAAGCTTCAAGCCCTTTCTCCACTACAAAAGCAAAAAGGAGTGTGCAATATGAGAAGCAGACAGGAAGACATGCAATAGAATTTTTAAAGAAGTTTGTGACTAACTTATGTGAAATCAAATTGTACAGCACATAAAGTCCATTTCTAGCATGCCCTATAGTTTCTACGGAAAGTACGATGCAACCATCCATCCATAAACCCTATACAAGCACTCCCCCCAATCTCCCTTACTTCTGCCATATAGTTTGAGTGCAACCAAAACCCAAACCCAAACATGCTTTGGTTTTAGTGAATAAATAAATAAAAATTGATATTTTTTATCACAAATTGGTACTCAGATTAAGAAGTTTTTGGTAAATAATTGCAAGCTTCTGACCCTAAAAAGACCCCGAAAAAATTAATAATTTTTTGCTAATAATCCAATGCAATTCCAAGACTAACACTTTTCAGAAGCAGTCCTAGTTTATGAAATAGAGAAGCAACCATACACCATTCAGCTAATGTAAACCTGAATGTTCAAATGCTATTATCATATTCACTTCATTTTCTTCAAGGACGGGGGGGGGGGATGGAAAAGGCCAATACAATAGACAGCCTTGCCCAACATCTTTCCATTCATATTAAATCATTATGATAAATTTATTAAGAAAATAAAACGAGACAAAGTCTCCATTCATCACCTCTTCACAGGGGAGTCAAACAACACAAATAGATAAATAGTTAATCAAAGGCTAAACACAAAAGTATGTCATCCCAGAAGGACAATTTAATTTTTCTCTTTTGAGAAGTTCATTTTAGCTGTCCACTTTGAAAAGCCAATGTGCAAGATAAAATAGATTTACAAAATGATCTTATGCATGGTGAATGCCAAATGTACAAACATCACAATTTAGAATCTTTTAGGTATAATTTGTTGGAAATTGACCGTATTTAACTTGGATATAAACATACTAATAGATGCCTCCTTGAAAATAATTCCTGAGATCAACAATATTCAACATGGACACAAACATACAAGTAACATTGTCCCAAAACTTTGGACCTTATAAGACAGACTGAATTTGCGATGACAGTATTATTTAATTTACCTGGCATGGAATGAAAAGAACTCGTTGAGCACCTCGTTGGTGTGAAGTAAGATGTTGTTCAGCAAGACTCGCGGTGATATGGCGGAAGTTTCCAACATCATCAACAAGATTGGACTTCTCCAATCTTTGGCCAATACCATGAACCATAAAAACCACATGTTGAACAGGGACCTAGACCAAGAATACAAGATTAAAACCCTAGCTATCAACAAGTTTATTTCAAACTTATTGCAGAAAGATGTTAAATGAGAGAGTCAAATGCATGATGCAAAATCATAAGTATTTATTTTACAGCAAATTATGGAGACAGAGAAAGGCAAATCTGAATGAAATGCATACTTTAACTGGGTAAATCTACCACATTTTGCCACCACATTTTTTTCCACTTTACACAAGACAGGAAATATAAAACCAAAAAAGGAGTTCGAGCAAGTCATATGTAGCCATTCTCCTAATCATATTGTTTGTAATTTGTTGATTAAGATGCATAATTGATAAACACATCAAGAAACTGAACATTACCAAGGAAAGATCATGTGTGCATCATGTATTTGTGATATACAGACAAACTGTCCAATACAACTTGCAGAACTAAATAGTGAATACCTGTGAGCAGTAATCATCCATTTCCTCCTCCTTCCGCTGTCGTAGTTCATCCTGAAGTACAAGAAAATAACCATTAACAGGAGAGACAATTAGTTGTTAACTTCCATCAGCCACAAGAAATGCAGCCCCTTATCATACCAATTAAAAATTATTAGCATATCAGGCATCATGTCATAGTAAAGTAAGCTGGATAAATAGCCCGGTTTATAAGACAGGAAAAGCACAAGAATAATGAATAATTGATTATTGTTAACAGGAGAGACAATTAGTTGTTAACTTCCATCAGCCACAAGAAATGCAGCCCCTTATCATACCAATTAAAAATTATTAGCATATCAGGCATCATGTCATAGTAAAGTAAGCTGGATAATTAGCCTTGTTTATAAGACAAGAAAAGCACAAGAATAATGAATATGATCTACTTAAGGTTATCAATGATTAGCAGTGGCAGCAGGAGAAGTAATGTTGGCAGTGTCATTGGTGTAACTGTGGTCATTTGTTGATGATCACAAAAGAATGGTCATAATGATGGTTAAATTATAGAATTGAGTAATGCATCTCCCTTTTTGTTCCTAAATTTGTTATAGAAGTATTTTTCACATAAAAAATTTTCAGAAACTGTTTCAGAAACCAGAAGAATTATACAAATACCAAACTAGTATCAGAACAAAGTATAGAAATACACCTGGGTTGGTTTAGCTGAGTGAGATGCAGAGTAACCACGCCTTAACTTGATTTCATTCCCACTCAAGCTAACAATATTAGAAAAACCAGAAGCATCAATGTTGAGCCAAGCCTCCCAAGTATCATCTTCTCCCGTAAAAAGGGCATGAAGTCCCTACATTCAGAATCAACCATGTTTGTTATGCATCATATGCTGCACTAGATAACAAGAAATAAAAAGATAAATATCCTTTCTTGGAAAACGATACAAATACCAGTGTAGAGCCTTGCAGATCAACACGGGCTGCAAAAAGGCCTGATGGTTGAAACATCCTTCGGTGCCAAACCTAAAGACAAGTCCAAAGTTGAAGAGAGAACGACCTTCATAATAGCAAGAAGTAAAATGCATAAAGAACACTACAAGCCTAAACTATGCATTTCCAAAGTAGATAATGCAACTCCAGCAAGATTCTAACCAAGTACTTTTCAAACTATCAAGCAAATTTACTTGACATAAACAACAATTTCTGACAAGGAATAGCCATCCATTATTGGAAATACCGTGGATCAAAGGAATAGATGTTAGTGATAGTGCAAACCTGGCTCCGGTATGCAATCTCTAACTGTTCAGCTACATCCTCTCGAAGAGGGAGCCAATCCAAGCCTCCTTTACGAGCAAACCAATGACCTCTCAAAACACGCCGATTTTCTCCATTCCAATAAACAGGAAAACAATGTCTCTTCACCAGATCTACCTGCATAATGACACCATGCCAGTTTTTGACAGTGTCAATAGGAAATTTTTATGGATGACACCCAAAAAAAAGTGTAAGAATAATGTGCAACAAAAAAATCATGTTTACATACTCAAATGCATGTTAACAATACAAGTCTCAGCAAAGATGGATAAACAGGCAGCTCCATAACCAAACTGTCCTTCCTTATCCTTCTTGAAAGCAACATGTTTGCTAAAATTTTCTGTCAACTATTGATACTCTTTTCGAAACTGATCTGGGAAGAAATTCAAATATGATCCCTTTTTTTTAACAAATGAATAAGATGTACAAGACACAAAAACTGATGGAACCACGGAGATGTTCTGAAAAATTGATACAGCAGGAACTCAAACCTGAGTTCTGAAACAAGTTAACAAAAAGCAAACAGCCAGAGCAGAATGCTGCAATGGAATTCTAATGACAGTTTTCCCACCACACACAATGCACTAACGCTGGAAATTCTTACTTAAAACTTCAGTGAAAAACATATGGCCTTGCATACCTCATAGAGTCCTCCCTTGACAGGCACACCTACTCTCTCCTCTTCCACTTCATGTAGTTGAGCTGCTCGTCCACCCTCTGGAGAATCAGCATTTTCTAGTGTATTGAACTTCTTACTGGTGGTAGGCCAACCCACTGGGCCTTCGCTACATTCTGCATACTCTTTCCACCAACTAGTGAGCAACTCTTCTTCTCTCTGTGAATCACAAAATCAAAATTGGAAAAAAAAAATGATTGCACCATCAGGCATGAAATCAGGTTCCATTGCCTTGTATACATACTATAACTATGTATTGAGTGTGTGTTTGGCATTGTGGTAGCTTTTACGGTTTGAAAAGGTAGGTTTAAGAAAAACTACAAATTATAGCTTTTTTGTAATCAAGGTTTCAAAAGAAAGCTTTCAGTAGGATCCATGCAAGACTATGGATTGTGTTGATTAACTAAACACTTTCAAAACTATGGTTGGGGCAAAACACAGTTTCAACCACATTTCACTACACTACCAAACAAACCCTAATCGTCAACATTACATTTTATATCCACAACATAATGAATGTGCGAATAGAAGCTTGTTTTGTTTTCAATAAAAAATTCTCATACAGAATCTTGCAGTCCCAGATGCACATAAAATGGGGGTGCTTGAACAGCAAACCAACAAATAAGCATCTAAAATGACCTGCAAGAAAGATGCTTCTATTGCAAGAGAATCCCTCATACCAAAACGAAAATAGTCGCTCTTTCCCACTATCTCAGTGAGCGGGACTGAGGCAGCTAACTCTGCAGAAACACCAAAAAGAAAAATGAGAGCTTTTTTTCCTTTTTCCTTTCCCTTCATAAATTAGCAAGTTAGTTCTTTCTTCTCATAAATTAGCACAATCTAATAGGGATGAAGGAATATTAAGCCAAGCATCAAATTTTAGTTCTTTCTTCTCATAAATTAGCACAATCTAATAGGGATGAAGGAATATTGTGCCAAGCATCAAATTCCATGTGTTTAGGTCAAACGAAGCATTTTGGAACCAAGCAAAGCAAAGAAATTAAAAAAAAAAAAACAAGCAAACCATAATCACAAGTACTTTTTTTATACATAATAAGTAGAATCTTAGAAATTAAAATGCACTGAAAATGGAAATTTTCCAATTCTAGAAAGCATTATTACCCTTTTCTGCTGTTATCATAAACCAAGGCAAATTAATTAACATCAAACAAAGCAAGCACTAGCAAACAACAAAACGTGAATAAATTGACTAAAAAAAAGCTAAAAGCCTACTCACCATTCTCTGCCAAAGGCACCTTACAGAAATACCACCTAACATCACCACCATCAGATGGACTTCTAGTTTGTGCAAGATACTTTTGACGACCTTTACAATTCTCGATCACATCCTCCAATCTTGCGATATTTGACGGCGTATTCTTTAGCAAATTAGGCAGTATTTCCTCTGAAACCGCTGGATTTGCCTTGCAACCCGCCATCTAAAAACTAAATTATCAAAATGGTGTTTCTTCTTTTCTTGAAAACTAAAAATGGGCACTCTTCAACAAAATAAACGAACTTTGGATCAATATTGCATTTTTTTGGCGAAATATCAAATGTGTTTCCTTCAAACTATATATATATATATATATATATATGGACGCAAATGGATATTTTTAAGCTACGAATTAATTTTTCAAATATTTGTGAATTATTTTAATGTGTTATATTAAACAATAAATTTAAAAATATATATATATTAACATATTTTTATTAAAAATATATGTTTTAAAAAAAATACCATATTTTTAATAAAAAAAAAAAGAGTTCAGACATGAATATATTTGATACCAAACATTAACCAAAGACTCCCGAGCGATTTTTAAGCTAATTTAGATGCCTTAAAAAACAAGTACAGGAATATAAAGGACATGTACCTCAAGAAATTATTGTTTTTATTTCAAAAACTAACCTTAGGTGATTTCACTTTACACACAATTTATTATTTTCTATTAATTATGATTTCACTAAAAAGAATTCATTGGGTTAGTGTTGGAGCATTTTAATCTTTTCCCCCATCTTATTAACTATTCAAAACTTTATCAGATATATAAATATTTTTTTAATATTTTACCATAATAAAGTGATATAATTTCCCTCTTTATTTTTTTAAAATACAATAAAATGGCTAGTTTTCCTTTAAATTAAAAAATATAGTTGATATTCTAATGGTTTTTTGGTCTTTTCATTCTAATTTTTTTATTATTAATAATTTTATAAAAAAAATTATCTCTTTATATATATAAATTATCAATTAAATTAAAATAATTGATGGCACGTATTAATCACACGTTGATATATAAAATGTGCTTGTGTATTTTAAACGGCATGTATAACATTTACAATAAAAGATAATATTCTTCCATCATGTTGTTGGAAGCATCAAGAAGTTCTTTTGCTGATGTTGCGCCAAATGATAGCAATAATAGAGTAGTTTGTCGCTAGTAGTCCTTTTTTTTTTGTTTTTTTTTTTCTTCTCCTTCAAAATTTATAGATTGGTCCTTTTTGTTTTTGAAATTCAAGTTAGTAGATTAACCCGAGTTGGCTCACCCCTTATTGCCCAAGTCAAATGTTTATTATGCTAACATAGGTTGACTCAAATAAGTTTTTTGTTCTTTTTTACCCAATTTTATTATTTCATATTTAATTGGTTAGAAATTTAATAACATTATTGTCTAGTTTATGAAAAGGTTTTTTTTCTCATATTATCGTAGTTTTTTTTTCAATTTTTGTCCATTTACTTTTGTTGTCATTTTTTTTATCATCTCATTAAGATAAAACCTATGTATTTGATCGATTAAACCTATGTATTTGATCGATTAGGGTTATAAGCCGAGTCATGTATTTTTCTTCTTTCTTTAAAATTTGTTTGTGGCACCTAAACATTATTTTTTTAAGAAAAAATAGTGCGAACATGCGGTGTAACTCGAACTCCTTTGTCTTTCTCTCTCAACCTAGAAAGCTAAAAATCAGGTTCGATAAACCTTGATCTAAAGATAATCATGTACTTAATAACCAAATGTATAGGAAAAAAAAGATTTGGACACAAAGATAATCTTGTATCTAAGAACCCTATGTGTGTAAATGACATCATGAAATCAGTTAATTTTTGATAAGTTAATACATGATCTTTGTCCATACAAAAAAAGGTTGATTTGCCATTAAAAAACAAAATAAAAACTCATATTTATTCTCCAACTTGATGCTGAAATTTGCAATAACAAAAATAAAAGTCTTCTCTAACTAACCCATTTTAAGTTTCAAGCTAATAGATGTAAACTAGTAATCAACTAACATAAGTCTAATAATAAAATAAACTCATAAACCATGTCTAATAATAAAAAAAATCAAATTAAAAAATTAATATTCAATGTTAAACATATCATTCTTTTTTATTTAAATGAATCATTGAGTCTACCATATATGATTGGAAAGTTTGAGATTTCTAGTTTTTATTAAAACTTAAATAGCAGCAAACTGCCACATATAACTCCATATATGTTTTAAACAACATACAAAAGTCCAGTCTTGCAGATTTGACAAGATTTATCTAGTAACTTTTACATTCTAAAAAAATATCTTCTTGAGCTCTATTTAACCTAAACATTTACCAACATTCTAAAAAAATATCTTCTCGAGCTCTATTTAACCTAAACATTTACCAAAATGTATTTTTATGTATCAAGTATCTTCTTGTAAAATTTTAGCTCATTTTAATAAACAGTTTAAGAGATATACCTGATTTTACAAAACTAGTTAGCAGACATTTTAAGACCAAATTCGAACCTGGCTTAGTTTGTATCATCTTTTTTTTTTAAAAAAAAAAGAATGACTTGTTTATTCAATTTCACTTCACCACCATCCTTCAACCACTATAGTTTATAAGGTATGAGATGTTAGATAGTATGAGAATTTAACTTTCTTATCAATTTAGTATTAGTTACATTAGTACAGCTACCACCATTTATAATTAAGTTACAATCCTTACTATAAATATAATATCTTGCATGGAATATGTTCTCCCTCTAACCTTCCAAATCATCAACCTTGACATATATCTTCAATACTCTCCTTACCACAAGTGTCTTTCCTTCAACTAGATACTCAACACAAATATCATCATCATCTTATAATTGTAACATCAAATATTCATTTGTTATGTAGCTCTTAAAACCAAATATTCTTATTTTACAATGCATAAATCAAATATCCAATAATGATTCCTATTGTAAATGAACCTTTAAAGATTATTACTATTAGGTTTCAATTAAGAGTATTAAGGTGGCATATTTTTGTGTAATGTAAATATTTTGGCCTTAAATAATTGTTCACTGATAATGGTTATGCATACATGAGTCTTCACTAACTAATATGTCTAAATATTGATTAGGGACAATATTCTAAAATTGAACCATTAATGTGATTGTTTATAGTATCAACACACCCTAAGGCTGATAGATCCATAGAGGTTATGGTTAAACTTTTAGTCAATAAGAGGTCATTCATACCACTAGATCTCAGTCTTGAGTAAATGAACCTATAAATATCACTATTTAAATGTTTAAAATTAAGGTATAAAACTTTATTTAGCAAAATGAGAATCAATCTTCATCATATGATAAATAAAATGTTTGGCACCATCCCTTATAGGTATAAGATTGGATTTATTAAGCCTAACATAAGCTCATCTTAATCATTCACTGACATTATTAGAAAGGACCATCAATGGTTACAGGTCTCAATTAGGAATAATTGGACCAGTTAGATATGTTTTTAGATATGTTAGTTCATTAATAATTATCAAAATGAATGAATCCTTACCGATAATTATTATGGTAGTAATGAGAACTCGAAAACATGACCCAAACATAGAAGGAATAAACTTAAACCTTAGGTTTAACTTATTATAATAGACTCATCCTTACTTGTATAGATTGATCACTATTAGATTAGGCGCAATAAAGCTATTATGAATGAAAGATAAGTAATAATGGAACTTACCTTAGGTAAAATGTTTTATGGTAATAGTGTCTTCCATTTAGCATAATCAATCTCTTACCTTAAAATTTTAAAAATTAAGTAAAGTTTTTAGTGACCATAATACTAGATGATAACTATTTTATATACCATACACACATATATTTTAGACCATTTTTCCCTCTAAAAAATAACTCTTCTTTAAGGAAAAAAAATAAGCCACCACAATGTTAGATGCAATACTTAGGATAAGATCAATAACCAACCTATAATGTGTGCATATGTATCTTTATAAGTTAGTATGCTTATATGTATTACACTATTCTCTTCTTTTTCAACTTTTATTCTTTGAAGTTTGGGAAGTAATGTCCTTTGAGGTTTTGATTTTATTGATACAAATAAGATACTACTATATCACTTTTATTTATCAAATTGAAAAAAGTCTCTACATATTCATTGAACGATAAATATTGAAATCAAGATCAAAACAAATTGTTCATTGGAAAGATAAAGTTTAGGTTAAGGTTTATTCTTATATCTCTAAATCTTGAAAAATATATAATTGCCTATATTTGTAATTATCATAGATCTCTATAAATACTACCTTTTATCATGAAGCAAGTTTTTTAATGTGAGCTTAACACTCTCCTAAAGCCTTATAAATATGGTTCAAGATAAAAGGTTCTAGAGTTATAATTCTATTCTCTGTTGAAGTTATTGTCATTTTTAGATATGATTTGGTAGGTTTTTTTAGAATTATTACATATAAGGTGCTTATATACCTAGTATAACATAAAAGCTACATGCTTTTCAAAAGGTAAGAAATTTGAGTCTCTCTCTCTTTAAATAAGCATGCTAAATTTAAACACACTTATTATTAAATCCTTAAAAGAGTTGGTATTAATTTACATGAAGGAACAAAGTCTGTTTTCAAATAGGTAAAAACTATCTATTATGGTTAAATCATATAAGGCAATAGTTTTTAATATATACCTAAATATAAAAGTGTTGTTGGACTTTAATAAGAATAGAAAGAGGATAGATAAAAGCTATTTGTTGGGTTTAGAAAAGAGTATAGGTAACTGGATTATATTAAAATTCTTTTTACACCTTTATTCGTAAGAAAAATGATCTCAGTACTTGTCTAACCATTTAAGATATGCAATGGTAACACCACAAAGCCACTAAGAAATGGTTTTCTTCCATACATTAAAATTCATGTGATCATCCTAAAAAGAAACTGTTTCTTTGATAATGTCTATAATGAAATATTAGTGTTTTTTTATTCTTTCGGTACCTTTCTATATAATGGTACTAGAAATGCTTTTCTATAAGTTTTTATTAGCAATGATGGTAAAGTAGTTAATCTTAGACAAATTGTTTATGAAGTTTTAGTAATTAGAGATGATCATAGATTTAGGTGGAACAAAGTTTAAGGGTGCCATTTTTATTTTAAAAAGGAAGGAAATTATTTATGGTTCTTAGATGAATCGTTATAGAAACATTTCTATGTAAAATAGGGATTAGAGATTTTTCAAATGAAAGATGAAGAATTGGAAAGTGACTAAGATCATTATCAACCAAAGAAAAATG